GAAGAGAAGATATAAGGTATTAATGTATTTAATAAAGGCTAGTAACAAAAGAATTAAAAAATATTTCTAAGACAATTTGAAATTATTAATATGAAGTAAAGGTAAAAATGTCTACTTCTCTGCTAAAAAATAAGTGACTAATAATAATGTTAATAAAAAATTAATATATATAGATAAGTAGTAGTATAATCTGAATATAAATATCAGTATATTATTCTCATAGATATGATATTACAAAATAAGCTAGAATTATCTATAATCCTAGCTAGTACTCAGCATAATCAAATAAAAATTTGATCTCAAATACTTAAGTAAATTTTTAATAATCATTATTTCCAAATCAGGTAATTATAATTAATTATACTTCTCGTTCTGTACTTTAAATACATATATTATGATCGAAATAAGCTGAACAGTTCGAGTACTCCGATTTTCCGATTTTGTAGATCATTACACAATTAATTAAAGTAAATTAAAGCTCTCACTTTGCCCTACGACATATTCGCTTAATCTATCTTAATCCCACAGCTTTCGTATTATACTTAACTAGTTGAAGTTATAAGTAATTAACCACTACTACATTAACAAGATTTTTTTTTGAGGTAAAAAAGCTTATATTAATGATTTAGAAAAGTAGCATAGTTGTAATGTTTGGATTGTATGATTTTTTTGTATATGTTATATATATAATTTTTTTTAAAAAAGTTGAAGTGTCTAAATAATAGTTATTAACATCATTTTTTTTTTTTTTTACCAAAGTTTTCGGATGTGTAATAGATTTATGTAGATACAATGTTAATATGGGCTATATAACAAAACTATGAATATTTAAAGATCTCTTCAATAGAATAGTAATGTGTAATACTATAGAAAATTCAAGCTTATTAGATATAGAATTAAATTTAGATTATAAAATTTCAATTAATGATAATAACTTATGTGTAATATGATTTAAATTAGTTCAAATTAATAAAGACTTATTTAATGATGTTTACTTTGAAATTTTAAATATAAATTTTGATCAAATTTCTTTGAATACACTTATCTCAGCCTTTAGTTTCGCTGCAGCAAGACCTCAAAGAACCTTGAAACTTGGACCAAGTCTCTCTACGCCTCCTTTCTGCCCTTCATCTCAAGGTTTTAGTAGTCAAGGTTTGTTTTATAATTTTAGTGTTAGTCTTTATTCCGATAGTCTACACTTTCTCAACGTATATATGTATATACATATTACATCATTTGTATAATTGTTAAAAATTAAACTAGATAATGTAGTAATTTAATTAGCTTTTAGGTAGCTAATTCGGCTTTTCTAGTGGGTTGTTCGTTATTCGAAGAACATATAGAATTTCTTTTTTTTTTCTTTCTACTGTTGATATAAATTGATTTTTTTTTTAAGTACAATATTAATTCGGTTTTCCAGTGGGTTTATTGATTTTTTTTTCTGTTATCATATTAATTCAGCTTTTCCAGTGGGTTGTTCGTTATTTGAGGAACGTATAGAATTTCTT